TCTCTCTCTCTCCCTTCCTCTCTGTAAAAAATCAATCAAATATATTAAAAAAAAAATTTCCTTGAATTTTAGGTGTTTTAATGTTCTCAGTGCTAGCCTGGTGGCATTTTATATATGTGGCATATATCAGCTGGGCCGTCTTCTCACTCTCTTAATGATGTCTTTTATTGATTAAAATTATTTGAAATTTTGTAAATTTTCCATTTCTTCCCTTATGATTTGTATTTTTTGCCTTAAATAATTATTTCCTACCCCTAGGTCATAAAACTATTATTTTGTCCTAAAAATTTTAAAACCTTGTTATTTAAAATTTTTTAATCCATCAGGAATTTTATTTTTTGCATGAGGCTAAGAATCTAATTTTATTTCTTCCATATGATCAATACCAGCAACTTTACTTAAAAGTCCAACCCTTCCCCAGTGATCTATACTGCCAAGTCTGTCAGACCAAGTTGCTATTGATGCATGAGCCTGTTTATAGGTGGTTGAGAGCTTTATTGAAACTGCATTTATGGCCCTAACCGGTTTGGCTCAGTGGCTAGAGCGTCGGCCTGCGGACTGAAGGGTCCCAGGTTCGATTCCGGTCAAGGGCATGTACCTTGGTTGCGGGCACATCCCCAGTGGGGGGTGTGCAGGAGGCAGCTGATTGATGTTTCTCATCCATGTTTCTAATTCTCTATTCCTCTCCCTTCCTCTCTGTAAAAAATCAATAAAATATTTAAAAAAAAAGAATTTGCATTTATGAATGTAATATTCTCTTCAAAGAACCAATAGTCTCCATTGCTCCTTTGATTTCCATATTATACCTTTATTTTCTACTAGAAGCCCAGTGCACGAAATTTGTGCACTTGGGGGGTGGGGTGGGGTGGGCGGTTGTCCCTCGGCCCAGCCTGTGCCCTCTCACAGTCTGGGAGCCCTCGGGGGATGTCTGACTGATGGCTTAGGCCCGCTTCCTGTGGGGAGCAGGCCTAAGCCATCAGTTGGGCATTCTTAGTGCTGCCGCAGAGGTAGGAGAGGCTCCTGCCACCAGCGCTGTGCTTGCCAGCCGTGAACCTGGCTTCTGGCTGAGTGGTGCTCCCCCTGTGAGAGCACACTGACCACCAGGGGGCAGCTCCTGCGTTGAGCATCTGCCCCCTGGTGGTCAGTGCGTGACATAATAACTGGTCATTCTGCCATCGGGCTGAAACCAGTTCTTCAACACCCCCTGAACAGTCCTGGATTGTGAGAGAGCGCAGGCCAGGCCGAGGGACCACACCAGTGCATGATCGGGGCCAGAGAGGGATGGGGGAGGTTGGCCAGCTAGGGAGGGATTGTGGGAGGGGTCCAGAGCATGTCCAGCATCTTGCTCAGTGCTGATTGGCCGGACCCCAGCAGCAAGCTAACCTACCGTTTGGAGCGTCTGCCCCCTGGTGGTCAGTGCACATCATAGCAAGCGGTTCAGCGGCCTTAGCATATTATGCTTTGATTATATAGGATATTGTTGATTTCTGCTTATTCATTTTTTTATGTTTATATTTAATTTGTTTTTTTTTCTAATTTCTTCAGATGGATATTGAGATAATTGATTTTAAGTATTTATCATTTTATTATATTCATTTTGGCTGTGAATTTTCTGTGAACATTAACTGCATTCCCCAAGTTTAGATACATATGTTCATAGTGACTCAGTTAAAAATATTTCTAATTTCCATTTTTATTTTTTATTTTGACACATGGGTTATTTAATAGTATACTGTTTAATTTCTAAATACTTTAGGAAGTTTCAGTTACCCATATCTTTTTGTTACTGAGTTCTATCTTGATTTTACTGTATATCTTCTATCCATTGCTGAGATTTGATTTGTGGTTCAGCATATCAATTCTGGTAAATGTCCCAACTTACTTGAAATATATGTGTATTCCTGTAGTTGTTGATAATGTTCTATATATGTCAATTTTTTTTTCCAAATCTTCTATAACCTTATCTTTAAATTCTGTTTCTTCCCTCACTAGAGGAAGTCTGTTAAAATATCCAAATACAGTATGATTAGGGATTTGTTTCTTTCTCCTCCTATGTATTTATTTTCTAATGACAGAGAATTTTATTTGTAAAAGCTCCATTTTTGGCACAATGATAGTTTTATGTATCATTTCATTTATAAGAGAAGAAATGTAGTAGAGTCATTATGAGCACTAGCTTTGGAACCAAATATTCTAAGATTTAGATTCTAGATCTACTACCCTTTTAGCTTTATAACCCTTGATAAATCATGGAAACGTATGGTTCCAGTTTCCTCAACTGCACAAGGTAATTAAAAATTCTGGGTCCATAGAGTTATAGTGGAGATTTAATCAGATGATGGATGGAAAGTATATAAACAATACTAGCAAATGCTGGCCACTATCATTAAGAGGCTTCTATCCCTGTAATATATATTCTTGTAAAATATTAAAAGGCTTCTATTTTTGCACAATGCTTTCTCTCACAGAATATTCACTTATGGTTTCCTTATGTCGTTTTCTTTTCTTTTTTAATACATTAAAGTTAGTAAAATGCATAAATCTTGTCATTCACACATACATACATATAGATATACAGATACTAGAGGCCCAGTGCAAGAATTCATGCACAGGTGGGGTCCCTCCTGGCCAATCGGGGCCGTCTTGCCCAGTCCCAATCCAGGCTAATTGGGCTGGCCTGCTGGGGGGAGGGACTGTGGGAGGTTGGCTGGCCGCAGGAGGTTGGCTGTGGGAGCGCACTGACCACCAGGGGGCAGCTCCTGCATTGAGCGTCTGCCCCTTGGTGGTCAGTGCGCATCATAGCTACCAGTTGTCTGGTTGTAATGGTCACTTGGGCTTTTATATATGGGTATCTGTGAAACCATTACTCAAATCAGCATGTAGAAGAATTCTATCACCCAGGAAGTATCATATCCCTTCCCCATTAACTAACATCCTGAAGTGTCACCACATTAGTTTTGCTTGTTGAACTTGATATAATGGAACCATACAGTATGCCTTCCTGCATTAGCTTATTTTCAATACACACATATATATATATACTCGTAAATATCCGTAATAATGTTGAGTACCTGTTCATATATGATTGGCCATTTGGATATCTCATTTTGTGAGGTGACTGTTAACTATATATTTTTCCTCTATTTAAAAGAACTTTAGTTGTATTTTTCTTACTGGCTTGTGGGTTTTTTTTTCTTTCTTTTTTTAAAGTATTACATATGTCTCCTTTTTCCTGCTTAAGCCCCACCCCCCAGACACTCCCACCGCCGAGGGCAAGCCCCCACCGCCCCAGTGTCTATGTCAATTGCTTATGCTAATATGCGTGCATACAAGGACTTTGGTTGATCTCTAACCCTCTCCCTCTTTCTCTCTGAGGTTGGACGGTCTGTTCAGTGCTACCTTGTCTCTGGAACTATTTTTGTTTATGTTGATCATTATATCCCACATATGAGTGAGATCATGTGATATTTATCTTTCTCTGACTGGCTTATTTTGCTTAGAATAATGCTCTCCAGTTCCACCCATGCTGTTGCAAATGGTAAAAGTTCCTTCTTTTTAGTAGCAGTGTAGTATTCCATTGTGTAGATGTACCACAGTTTTCTAATCCACTCATCTGCTGATGGGCACTTAGGTTGTTTCCAAATCTTAGCTATTATAAATTGTGCTGCTATGATCATAGGGGTGCATATATCCTTCCTGATAGGTGTTTCTGATTTCTTAGGATATATTCCTAGAAGTGGGATTACTGGGTCAAATGGGAGTTCCATTTTTAATTTTTTGAGGAAACTCCATACTGTCTTCCACAGTGGCTGCACCAGTCTGCATTCCCACCAGCAGTGCACAGGGTTCCTTTTTCTCCACATCCTTGCCAGCATTTCTTGTTGGTTGATTTGTTGATGATAGCCATTCTGACAGGTGTGAGATGGTACCTCATTGTCGTTTTGATTTGCATCTCTCAGATGATTAGTGACTTTGAGCATGCTTTTATATGTCTCATGGCCTTCTATATGTCTTCTTTCGAAAAGTGTCTGTTTAGGTCCTTTGCCCATTTTTTGATTGGATTGTTTGTCTTCTTTTTGTTAAGTTGTATGAGTTCCCTGTAAATTTTGGAGATTAAACCCTTATTGGAGATAACATTGTTAAATATGTTCTCCCATGCAGTGGGCTTTATTGTGGTTTTGTTGATGGTTTCTTTTGCTGTGCAGAAGCTTTTTATTTTGATGAAGTCCCATTTGTGGGTTTTTTATTTTATTTTTATCTGGATCAGTTGTCAGTCACATGTATTGCAAATATATTTTCCCAGTCTGTGGCTTGCCTTTTCATTATTTAAAAATCAATTAAAAACAAAACCAAGACAAAACAAAACAAAAAATCTGCAGGCTCAAGTTCTTTACCTTCTTATTTACAGCATTGCTGTTGTGGGATCTGATGTTCATCATACTTTTTCCTTCACAGGTGCCCTGCCCTTTTTCTCTGTTACTTTTCAGAATTCATCTTTGCCTTTGTTTTAAATCTCACTAAAAATGTGTCCAGGCTTGGAATTTTCCTTATCAATTCTGATACTCATTATTTCTTCAAAACTATCTATTCTTACTTTCCCCTTCCTTTGGGGATGTTTGTAGGTGTTGCTACTTTTATTTCCATTCTCTAAACTCAGGTGCTGTATGTACCAGTTCCAGTGGCCTTAGGCAATGTCAACTTTCTGGTCCACTGTAGACAGGCAATCCTTGCAAAGAAAACAGACAGAAAAACCCAGGTGGGAACTAGCATATGTTGTCATGTACTAAGCAATGCTGTTTTCCAGCCATCACCGAGAGGGATCAAAGATAGGGCTCATAATCCCCATGGCCCTGCAGAGGGAACCTGCTCCTCAGCTTTCAAGGCCTTATTCTCACAAGTTGAGGACAAAAGAGACTGAGAGCCATCACCAAAGGGTGATTTTTAGGAGCATGCTGCCACCCATTAAAGGCTGGTTCTGAGGAAAAACATGACTAGAAGGGTTAACACAAACTGTGCCATTTTATATTCTTTTTTTGTTAAGTGGTTCCTGGTACATGTTTTAAGTATATTTTGCTTCTAGTCTGAATGAATGACACATACACAGCTTTCAAGCTATTTCTTGGGAGAGGTGTGGTCTAGTAGAAATGGCCGTCCATGCCCAAAATAGGTCCCCGCAGGTTCATGCGACAGAGGCAGCAGCTCGAGCGCCCATTTCCATTCTGAGGTCTCCTAAACTAAGAGCGTATCCTCTAATTCCAGGTCTCAGCAACTCCATTCTCTCTCTATCCATCTCCATCTCCACTTAGAACCTGGAATGATCATGTTAGGCAGCAGTGCTCACAGATCAAGCCTAGAAGTTTCCCCAGGTGAAGAAAAAGACCTCAGGTAAAGACTGGGAAGAAAGTTCAACTTAAAATAACCCCAAGTTCAACACCTTCTGGAAAAAGTGAGAGTTGTCCAGCAACAGGCTGTGGCCTGGGGGCTGGCGGCAACAGTGACCACCATCCCTCTGCTTCAGGATGTCCGATCCAAAGGGTGGGCACAGATGTATGCTCGCTTCTCTAGGACATGCTGGGATACTTTCTTGATCTGTTCATCTAGATTTTCTGGAGAATCTGGGAGGGAAAGAAGACAGCGGGTGATGTGTCTGCATTGTGGCAATAGGAATATTGCTGGAACAGTTTTCCTAACAGTCAGCCTGTTGGGTATCCCCACTACCCCTCCAACCCCCCAGGAAGTGATTCTGGGCTGTACATAGAGGCTTTACTCTGAATAACAAAGGGATCATCTTGTTAATCCCTAAAAACTCTAGATCCTGTGGGAGAAGGCACTTGCTTAATAAAAGACCCTTTTCGATGCAAGCCTATTATTGCAGGAGAAACCATCTTATCATCTCCATAACACATTAACAGTCAAGTCAGCACTGTGGAGGATGCCTGAACAGCACCCTGAGCCAGAACCTACACAGAATTATGTGCCCCTCTCCACAATCTCTTAGCAACAGGGCTGGGCTCTGTTGGAACACATGATGTAAAGCCTTGAGGCCAGCAGGACTGTACAGGACTGTAAGGGTCAGAGGAGAATTCAAGCTATACATTCTAAAACATGACCATAAGAGCATTCCAGACTGAGCAGATGGTCTAGAACAGCATCCCGGGTCATCTGTGAGAGGGGCAGCTTCCTCTCCACTGCAGTGTTGGAGTGAAAAGGCAAGGGAAATGTCTCCTTCCTTTGTGAACCGTCCCTGGGCAGATGCTGCAGGGCCCGCACAGGGGCTCTGGCAGAGCTTGTACCTGTAGATCCGTGCTCCTGCCTCGCTGCCAGTGCAGGTCTTAGTCACCCTCAATCACGGCAGAAGTTTGTGAGTAGCCAGCAGGCCATGGGAGCCTGACAGGGTGCCATAGACCAATTCCAGCATGTCATAATTTTAAGTTTCATCAAAAGGTTGATGAGACTTGGGGACTCAACAGGGTTGAGTCACACATGTAGTCACCATCTGGGAATGGCTAAAGGCATTTCCCCAAACCTTGAATAGGAAACTGATTGTGGCTGCCAGACAGTTAAAGGGCATCTTAATCTACATGTTATTGCCCCCTACTGGCCAAACACCTGAACAGCCGTAAGCTATTCCCCAAACTGACAATGCCTCTGTACCCTTTGAAACCTTACCCTTTGAGGTGTATTATCTCCACCTTGTCTTAGGACAAATTGTGTTAATAAAAGCAAGGGTCCTAGGCAAGGAGGTAGTCTTCAGTTCCTTTAGCTGAAGGTCCTCTGACCCCCAATGCCTCTTAAAATTATAACTCGCCTCTGGACTCTTGATTAGTCTCTGGATTTCTATGTCATCTACGCACAGCGCCTTTTCAGGATTCCTGAACCCTTCTTGGTGCTGGGACATGAACCCCGGCAACAGGGTCCAGAAGAAGCTCACCATCAACAGTCGCCTAGAATCAGACCCTTTCCTTCCTCCCCCAAGCAAACCTACTCACACTTGTCCAGCTGAGATAAGGTGAAGAGATTCTGGCAATAAGCTTCTGTGCAGAAGATGTTGGCCAACAGAACCTGCCAGAACCAAGGTCAGAGAGAACCTTGAGACCTCTGGGCCATAGGGCTCCCCCTCCCTGGTGACTGACCTCTAAACTTCAAAGAACCACTGGGCAGCTTGGCTGGGGTCAAGAAGCTTGGCTCAGAAGTGACACAATCTTAGGTACTAATTCCAGCCCAGAGCCAAACTAGCTCTGTCCCAAGAGCAAATTACTCAACATCTCTGAGCCTCAGTTTCCTCTGCTGTGAGAGAGACATCACAATTCCTGTGGACACTGGCTACTGTGAGTCAATGCACATGAAGACCAAATCCATACTCGCTCAGTGACTCCTCTAGCAGGGTGAGGAGGACAGACAGGGTGAGGGCACTGGGTGTAGGACTCCATCACTCACCCACCCTTTTCTCTCAAATGGGAAAATGAAAGGGAGTGGCCCTGTGTCCTGAGCAGACATGGACCATCCCTCCCATTGGACCTTCAGTACTTACCACAGGCCACAGCCACAACTCGGCAAACCCACCAGCCTCCAGGTCAACCGCTGCACGGACCTTGCACTTTACTCTCTCTCTGGGGTGCCAAGCCCCTTGACTTGCCCAGCCCTCCCACTTGAGACTGCTAAATTGGGCCATGCCACTCAATGATCCCACCCCCAACCACCGGGCCTCAGTTGAGTGCAGCAGGACAAAGCCAGTGGGAAGCTACCTGTGTGTGGACGAGTAGAGCAGGGCAGGGCAGAGCAGGCTCACCTCATGGTCATGGTTCCGGAGACCTGCTCGGATGGAGCGGCTGGCCCGAGACAGCACAGCTGTCATGCCGTACAGGTTGATGAGGATGTTGGCCACCCGCTTCAAGACCATCTGCTCCTCCACAATGGTCTGGGAACACAGAGCCCCAGGGTAGAGGCCCATTACCTGCCATCCCATCCCCCACAGTCCCTCCCTGGGAACATTTCACATCTCTGAGCCTCATTTTATGCCTCGGGATTGTGAGAAGTTGGCTCCCGGTGGCCGCCTGTTTTCCTTTCACTCTGTCTAGATTTGGGCAAGGGTAAAGGTAAGACTAAGTCCCAGGAACCTGGCTGAGACCAGAGGCTGGGCTTAATTAATACCTCTTCAGCCGCAGAGCCTCCCACATCAGGTCGTGAGATTCAGGCCCTGCTGAGGCTCCCCCCACAAATGCAGGAGCCTCTCTTCATCTGGAGGGGGCTCCCCAGCAGGGCACCCACCCCATCAGCCCTGCCTCCCCATTCCACCCCTCCATGGTGAGTAGATTTCTTCCTGGGCTTGGTTCTAAAGATGGACACTTGGTAAAACATTATCTCATAGATGCTGGCCCCATTTCCCTGACCCCAAAGTTGGAGGGCCTGCCACTCCTGGGTCTGGCAGGGGTCTGACTACCTTGCCAAAGCGGAGCAGCAACGTCTCCACAGTGCGCCCAAAGTAATACACGTTCTCCTCGAGCTTGTTGGCACCGTCCTAGAGGCCAGAGGAAAGGACTCAGCTCAGCACCTCCTCCCCATGGTGCCATCCTGTCCCACTGGGATGGCAGGGCCTCCAGGGCCCAGGCCTGGCTAACATGCAGGCTGTTCTCCATTGTGACAGGGTGGAGACGGGACAGCAGCTGTCCCTCAGACTGACTGGTCCTCCCCACCACCCTTGGTCATATCCCTTCTGGGAGGAAGATATCTGACAGGCTATACCTGCTGGGCTCACTCACCGCAACACTGGGGTGCACAACTCCAAGATTCCCTGTCAATCCCAGGTCCACGGTTCGGCCCAAGGAGTCCCGAAGCCTCCGGCCAACAGTCTCCAGGACAGTGGTCACATTGCCCCGTTTAAGCTCGCTGCAGAAAGCCCATGGCCCCATGACCTGAGGCCCTGCTGTTCTTCTCACTGCCCAGCAACAAAACCCCCACCAATAGGTACCCCAGAGCTCTAGGGCACCCATTTCTTCTCCCTGACTATGCAAAGGCATAAAGTGCCAACCCAGGCCCAATATGACCTTCCCCTAGTCTGGGCACTCTGGGCACCTGGCTGCAGGCTGAGTCCGGCCAGCCTGTCCGATAGCAGCCAGTCTCCTCTGAGGTAGAGCTACTCTTGTGCTCCCTCCATAAGAAGCTGAGCCACAGCCAGCTTCCAGGTCGTTCTTCTCCAATAAATACTCCGCAATATGCTCTGAGCAACCTGTTCTTGGGCTCCAGCAGTGATTTCTAATTGCTCTGGCCTCAGGATGGGGATTGAGAGGAGCAAGAGAGGGCAAGAGCAAGGGAGAGAGAAAACAAACAAATTGTTCTTGTGTTGGCCTTGGAGCCTGGCATCTAGTTAAGGGGCATCTCTCATTCCCAGATCCTGAAAACAAAAGTCCCTGCAGCATAGGAAACAGGAACTGTCCAGGGAGTGAGCCCATGGGCAGGGCAGTGAGGGCTTCACTGAAGAGCTGGCTCCTCCTGTCAGCCTCAAATAATGGCCGAGCTCTGGAGCCTGGCTTCCAAGGCCCAACATTCACTGGCCAAGGCTCCTGCCCACCTTCCCTCTCTCTAGCCAAGCAGCGGATGGGCTCGCCTTTTCAAGGATATACTGCTCACCACTCTTGTTTTCCCAGGTGGGACCCAAGGAGCAGAGTGGGAATGGCACCTACTTGATCCTTGCTGTCAGGATGCGTCCGGCGTGCTGCAGGCCTGTCAGGGCGATGTACATCCGGAGAATCTCATTGGTTCCCTGTGGTCAGCAGTATAGAGGTCAAAAGCTGCCCCATGGAAGTTAGCCCCAGCATCCTGCATTTGCGACTGGGTGGACCGTGCTACTGCCTGCTCGCTCACACCGTGGAAGCCATTCAAGCAGGGCTATAACCTTTTATCGTTTCCACTGCCCCCGGAGTAAAGAACCAAGATCCTATATAACCTGGCTGCTTGTCTCCTTTCCATTCCCTCCTCACCTGCTCCATCATCTGCCCCAGCCCACCAAGCAGGCCTGGCCAATACTCCCACAGAGGCTTGCTTATTCTACCTCCACTCACTTAGAGGGGGCAGGTAAGCTCCTGTCTGGGCCTAGGATGCTCTACTTCCCTGTGCTTGGCCCATACAGCCTCCCCTATGCCTGGTCAAAATCCTTTCTGCCCTCAAGTGCAATTGCTTCATAAGACTTCAGTCCCTCAGGAGAGATGCACCTGTCCCTCACTCCCTGGTATTCTGGTTTCCTCCTTGGTCAGTAGGTCCACACAATCAAGACCACTAGCACTCCAAAGGTGGGATGTGTCTGAGGTGTCTTCCCCTCCCAGGACCTTTAGGCTTGTGAATTCATGGGGGACAGCAATTAGAGAGCAAGAACTGCCAGGCTGGGAAAGCCCTCAGAGATGACCCTCCTAAGCTCCCTCAATATACTGAGAAGAAAACCCAGGCCCAGACAGCATTTGAGGCCTTCCTATGAGAAGATCTCTGTTTGTCCCACCACAGCTGGCAAAAGCAACTTGGCAAAGACCTGTGGTGGTTTGCCAGGAGGTGGTAGGCTCAACAGAAGGGCCCTTGGAAGTGAGACCCTAGGTGAAATGCTTGGCCTCTCAGTCTGCAGAACAGGGTCTAGGCAGGGTTGTGAAGAGGGTTAAATGACAGAACGCAGAAGCCAGCCTGGGCCCAGAACCAGGAGGCTCAGGGGGTCCATGGCAGAACGAGGTGGATCTGGTATCAGGGCACGCACCTCAAAGATGAGCAGGATGCGGGTGTCACGCAGCATGCGCTCGTACGGGTAGTCCCTCATGTAGCCCGAGCCGCCGAGGATCTGCAGCGCCTCACTCACGCACTGCCAGGCACCCTCTGAGCTGAACACCTGCCACAGACCCGGGCGAAGGTCAATGCCAAAAGGAAGGCCTCAGAACAGGGGCAGAGTGGCTGGGGATGGAATGGGAGGCTCAAGTGAGAACTGGGCTTTGAGAGGAGACTGAACGAGGCAGGAGCTCTGATTGTCACAGTCTCACTGGATGAACTCAGGCAAGTCCTTTATCTTCCTTGACCACACGGACCCCACAGTAGCTAAGGAGCTTTCCTCAGCTCCCCTCGGGCTGTGCTGGGATTACCTTCACCATGGCAGCCTCGATGGAGCAGTCAGGAAACCCTGGTTGGTCCAGCATCCCTGCAGTGAGGTAGGCCATACTTTCCATTACATAAGCCTTCTGAGCCATCAAGGCAAACTTTTCCTGGAGTGTTAAAAATAAAATAAAATCAAGAAGCATTTTACATGTGCTAAGAACCAAATCTGCCAACCAGCAGAGAAGGTAATGAAGTCCAAAGCCTCACACTATACAAGAGAACCGAGCCTGAGCATTCACAAAACGGTGTCACATTCCTGGCCAGTTCTAAGATCTTTTCCCTGGCTCCTTCTCCGCCGCCGACCACTTCCATAGTAACTGGAACCTCCTCCTCACCCTCCCTCTGCTACACAGACACAGGTCATTCACCTCACCTATCAAATACCCTGTCACTCAAGGCCCTTCACAGCACAGCCTTAACTTACCTTTCCAGCCACTTCTGCACATACTCTATGCCCCAGCAAGCAAAGCAGGGCTTCTTGCTTTTCCAAACACACCAGATTCTCTTGCACCTCTAGCACTATGGTCCTGGCCTAGCATCCCTCCTTTGGATTTTGCTTTGAAATCCTACTTGCCTTTCAGGGTCATTTTTATATACTAATTCCTCCGTAAAGCCCCTCCCACAGTAGTGGTCTCTAAAGGTGAATAAAATCGCCCTAGCTGGTTTGGCTCAGTGGATGGAGCATTGGTCTGCGGACTGAAGGGTCCTGGATTTGATTCCGGACAAGGGCACATGCCCGGGTTGCTGGCTTAATCCCCAGTAGGAGGCGTGCAGGAGGCAGCCAATCAGTGATTCTTTCATCATTGATGCTTCTATCTCTCCCTCTCTCTTCCTCTCTGAAATCAATAAAAATATATATATTTTAAAAAAAGGGTGTCACATTAAATAAAGCCTGTCCTCTTCCCCAGTCACTTACAGAAGTCACCAGTACAGACACTGAAAGACACAATGCTCACACAGTGAAATCCATATAGTGCCACTTGTACAACCTTTAGTACCTGAATTAATCCAAATTCACTGAGGCTCCTGTTGAACTGCTTCCTCGTGCAGGCATATTCTGCAGTCATTTCTGAAGAAGAACAGAGTGTTTAAAAGAACAATTTTCTGGTTGTCCTATGATAATTTACTAAGGCTGTCATCATCACCTTCCAGCCCTCAGGCAGAAACTATGTGTAACAGTCTGCTGAGACCAAGCCCCCTGAAAGACAGAGCCCCTGCTTTCTAGTAAAGCCAGGCTGGAGGAGGGACTATCCACGCCCAGTGGTGCCCAGAGCACACAGGGCAGACGTGAAGCCCAATTTGAAGTCAGACATAGGTCTGAGTCTGGTACTTTTTTTTACCAGCTGGTACTTTTTCTTACAAGCGACTTCACCTTCCTGAACAATACCACTGATCTCACAGAGTTGTGAAGACTGCACGATGCAGGTGGAAGGTGCCTAGCACCAAGTCATGCCCCCATAAACGCCCTAGGCAGAGGCAGGGACTGGCTCACACCTGTCACAGCTGTTCATCCCCAAAGCGGGAAGGTGATCTGTTTTGAAAACTTGGGCCTATGGCTTCAAAGTGCACAGATGTGAACACAAGCTGCGCCATGGTCCCAGCTGCGAAGGCACCCAACTGAATAGGGCAGCATCCCACCCAGTCAGCAGCCCCTGCCCCTACAGTCGGCATTCTCCAAACATTCCCACAGGTATGTCCAATCACAACTGCTTCTCATGGTGGGCTCAGATGGTAAACAGACACCCACATTCACACATTTCCGGGACTTGGGATATCATCGTTCTACATCCTTTGGGGAGAGGCTGGCCGTGAGCACCCCCACAAAGCTCTTGTACTGAGGAATTTCCAAATGGGAAAGAAATCCAGAGGACTTCAGGGTCTTGGGAGCAGCTCAGCAGAGTGAGACAAGCCCTGAGCTTGGAGTCTGACAGGATCAGCTTTTAGGCCCAGGTACATGGCCTTGGGCAAAACCCTTAACCTCTCTGAGCATCAGTCTCCTCATCTATAAAAGGAAGGTAAGAACCCAAAGCAAAGCCTTCCCATCCCATCTTGCCCTGAACTCTGAGGAACTTCATAAGCACTCAGTGTATATAGCCGCTGGGTATCTCCCACCATCCGTAGCCAGTGCCCCCTGCATTTCCCACAAAACTAATGTAGTAATCATGTTCTGTGCCCAACAAAAACCTTATAGGGCTATTTTAAGTTTACTGGCAAAGGAAAATCCAGATTTCAGGCATCCTAACAGAAAAAACAAAGGGGAGATTGAGAGGCTGAGAGATCTGGGTTCCAAACCTGATCCCACTCCTCACCCATTGTGCGAAGAGTCATCTACAAAACGGGGATCTTGGGAGAACCAGGGCTAATGTTTACAAGTGTCTGGCTCACACCTGGATGCTCACTAAGTAGCTCTGTTCCTAGGGGGTCAGAGCAGTTACCCGCTTCATCTGACAGAATGTCCACTCCCCTCCTCCTATCCTTTCTGAGCAGGTAAAATAGAGGAGTGCTGAAACATGAACACTCAATCTTTGGGGACAGACCGAGTACATTCTTTGATCTAAACCACAGCCCAGGTCCTAAACTTGAGTGAGACCATCTGCCCGGTGTTCTGCTCAGCACCGTCTGTCGTGAGCACATGGCAGAGCATCCAGGCTGGAGCGGAGGAAGCAGGGGCGAGGCTGTGTCGCAAAGGGCTGCTGTCCCTGACATACCTACCGATTAATTTCTTGAGCATCCCGGCCACAGCACTGCCCATGCTGAACCGCCCACTGTTGAGGATGTTCATGGCCACCTGCAGAGAAAGCATGGGCTCACTGTGTATTCCACTCCCGCAGAGTCCTGCTTGCCCATACTGTGCTGGGAACAGCCCAAGGGCCTGGAGGACTGAAGGTGACAGACCACAACAGTGCTTGTCTGTTTTTACCAGAAGGTTTGAAAACAAAAGATAAGTCCCTAAAGAATTCTGTGCCAGTACTTGGGCTGAGTTAATCATCTTGCCAATCCTCACTGAGCAGGGAGAGAGCACAGTCCCAACACTTCAAAACAAGGTCACACCATCACTGCTATGGCTCGGAGTCGCCTCCTCAAAAAGGAACTGAATAACCTTGTTCTAAAAGAACACGTGAATCCTCTTAGGCCCCGGGAAGAAAAGAAAGAAAAGTATGCAAGTAAGACTTATTGGGTACATGCTGCAAGCTACTTACACCTTCCCAACATTGCTTCCGCATCAGGGTTCTCATTGTACAAAGACCCTGAGGTTTAGAGAGGCAAGGGGCTTCTCCCAAGGCCACACAGCAAACATCTGCCTGCATTTAGGCCTGTGTTCTCTCCACTGAACCAGCCCCTTACACTGCCATGACATGCTCCTCCTCCACCAAATTCCTACAATGATGACATATTTCTTAAGGAGCTTTGTCAGTTTCTCTCCCCTTTATCAATTTTAACTTCCTACCTAATGCAGACGATGAGTGGCTTGTGATGAGGGACAGGCATACATTTGTGTGTACACACTGCTTCCTAAGTACTAGTCTATCTAGATTCATGGTGGTGTCCCCTTACCGACTACATGGGGCACAGAGGCAAACAGCTGATTAGGCAACAGGTGGCCCGTGGTAATAATGGTGGAGTAAAGGGGGGTACACAAGTCCAGTAGGAATGGGTGGGTATGTTTCTTTTGGTGTGGGAAGAGGGTATGTTGGGTAGCAAATGTTCCCACCCAAGAGATCCCTCAGCTGGGTCTACCTGGCCATTCCAGGGAGAAAGGGCATCCCAAGTCCAGCACTGAAAGGCAGGGCTTGGGGTCTGGGGGTAGAAAGGTGTCTGTGAACGCTATAGTTTTCCTAAAAGCAAAACTGAAAATGCAATTCTGCTTCTTACTGACGGCTTGCTTATGTGTGACTAGCATTATAAAATAGGCAAACCAATTTGCATTTATGTTTACTTGTTAAATCAATGGTAGAATCCCACAAAACAGATTCTGTGGGACTGGAGAGACTGGAAACAACTGCTCCAGTTACTGGGAAGTGCAAGTATTGGTTCTAAATATTCAATCCAAGGCAGCTGGAAAACATGGAGGATAAGGCCAAACCTTGCACTGGATGGGGAAGGGAGCTTGGTTAAGTCACATCATATCACAGTGTTACATTCAGGTCCTGCCCTGCCTCTTTGGGGTGGGGGGGGTGGGGGGAGAAGGGTGGAGCCTCTAACTCTAACTTCAGACTTGATGTCTCATAATGTGGGAGGACACTGACCAGGACATGAAGAGGGAAGAGGAAATCCCATCTGTATTTCCTCTTCCCTCTTCTTAAATGGGCTCTCAAAAGCTAACTCATAGTTTTATGAACAAAATTCACTTCACAGCCCCTTCATGCTTAATTTTTCACTTAAAACAACAAACAAAAATAAAAGGAGAAAATAATTTGATACTAGGTCTCATTTCCTGTGGATCAAAGACCTGATGGGTTTAGCCACAGCTGAAAAGGGGCTCACAAACTCAAAGACTGATCTTCCCCCCTAACCTCAGTCCTCTCCTCCTGCATCAGCACTTGAACTTTATCACCTTTTCTACTGCAAAATAACTCCCTTCTATAATTCCCATAAGTACAGTCTAGATCTCAATTTTCCCAGATGCAAGATGCAACCCATTCTTTGAACAGCCTCTGTCAGTTAACTGTCTCTGTGCCCTAAGCAGTCTGACTACTGATAAAACCTGAAAGCACTAGAACAGTGATGGCGAACCTATGACACGCGTGTCAGAGGTGACACGTGAACTCATTTTTTTGGTTGATTTTTCTTTGTTAAATGGCATTTAAATATATAAAATAAATATCAAAAGTATAAATCTTTGTTTTACTACGGTTGCAAAGATCAAAAAATTTCTATATGTGACCCGGCACCAGAATTAAGTTAGGGTTTTTCAAAATGCTGACACGCCGAGCTCAAAAGGTTCGCCATCACTGCACTAGAAGAAGAAGCTCTTATTTTTTTAAAAAATATATTTTATTGATTTTTTATAGAGAGGAAGGGAAAGAGATAGAGAGTTAGAAACATCGATGAGAGAGAAACATCGATCAGCTGCCTCCTGCACACCTCCTACTGGGGATGTGCCCACAACCAAGGTACATGCCCTTGACCGGAATCGAACCTGGGACCCCTCAGTCCGCAGGCCGATGCTCTATCCACTGAGCCAAACCAGTCAGGGCAGAAGCTCTTACTTTTATCTCTCATCAGCCACTCAACCTTGATCATTTCGTGATCTGTGGAATCACTGAGGTGTGTCACACTTTTTAGTAATTAAGCTGACTGGCAAACAATCCCACTAAATTAGTAAAGGGATTTATAAATCTATTTTTCTTTGCATATTAAAACAACAAAAATGTTTTACCTAACACAATGGGAAAAAATGTAATTCAGCGTCTGGAAGGTCTAGGGGCAGGGACATCCTCCACACTGAAGGGTAGACATTGGTTCAACTTCCCAGCAGGAAATTTGGCAACAAGGATCAGAAATTTAAAAACATTCACACCTTCTGACCCAGTAACTTCACTAGCGGTGCTTAAACTCATGAAAGAATTAGAAAAGTATGCAAAGCCCTAGCTGGTTTGGCTCAGTGAGTAGAACGTCGGCCTGCGGACTGAAGGCTCCCGGATTCAATTCCGGCCAAGGGCACATGCCTGGGTTGTGGGCTCGATCCCCAGTGTGGGGTGTGCAGGAGGCAGCCAATCAATGATTCTCTTTCATCACTGATGTTTCTATCTCTCCCTCTCCCTTCCTTTCTGAAATCAATAAAAATATATTAAAGAAAAGAATCCTTAAAAAAAAAAGAAAGAAAGAAAAAAAGTATGCAAAGATATATACAAGGATATATGCCACGCAATGTGGTTCTGAGTAGAAAAGAAGTGAAAACACTATAAAATTCCCAGTCCTGAGAACCTGGTAACATTTAACTTGGCATCATTACATGAAGCAATACTATTCAGCGTTAAACACTTACAGCAATATACATTTACTGGCATAAAAAGATGATTATGTGGGCCCCAAAGTAGAAAGATTCCTTTGATGTGAACCCTGAGAAGGAATTTATCTACTGAAATGGATTCCCCATGGTTAACCAAGGGCCTAAGTTTTATAAGTAAGAGCCTAGCAGGCATTTGCTGACAGGAGCTCCTCATGTGCTCTATACCGTGAAGAACCTCAGGCTGAACCCCTGCAAGGAAACCCTGGTTTGATCTTTTACGAAGGGACTGAGATCTGCCCTGTCCAATCAGAACTGCACGTTTTGGACACCTCATTTATATAAAACAGACCTAATTGAGAGCCTGGGTGACAACTTTTGCTATAAAAGGGGCCTCCCCTTTGTCTCAGTGGAACACAATTTAGGCTCTTCCCTGAATCTGTGTCTCCTGGGCTGCAGCTCCTTTTGCTCAAATAAATGCTTTTAATTTTAATTTTGGTTTACATTAGGATTATTGATAAATGAAAAAATGTAGACTATAGTACACATTCACACCAGATTTAAGGGACGAATGGTTTTTATAAAAATCTAGAAAGATAGCACAAAAATGTGAACAATGAATGCCAATTCTCTTGGGGACAGGTTTCAGAATTCATTTTTTTCTCTTTATCTATATTCTCTAATTTGCATATCTTCTGGGTGACAAACAAACCTATCACTGCACCCAGACTGCTGCTCCCATGTTTGTCCTTCCACCTCCACAACCCTTTGTTCCACATTCACCAAGTAGCATCCTGTCAGGAGCACTGGCTGATGGCATTTATCTGATTCTCAAGACATGGGGAGAAGGTATTACTCTGTTCTCTGCTTCACAGCCAAGGGGGTAGGGGATCTCACCAGGGTAAAGATACTTAACTAGGTGATTCAGTAAATTAGGACAGGGCAACAACAACAACAAAAAGGACGTTTAAAAATGGGCAATGGATTTGAAAAGACATTTTTCCAAAATTGCAAATAAACACATGAAAAGATGCAGTATTAGTCATTAGGGAAATGCAAATCAAACCACAATGAGATATGATGTCACACACACACTAAGATGGCTATCATTTTAAAAATGGACAATAACAAGTGTTGATGAGGATGTGGAGAAATTAGAACCCTCATACATTGATGATGGGAATGTAAAGTGGTGCAGCCACTGTGGAAAATAGCTGGGCAGTTCCTCAAAAAGTTAAATGTACAGTCACCATATGACCCAGAAATTTCACTTTTAGGTAAATACTCAAAAGAACTGAAAACATATTGTTCACACAAAAACTTGTACACGAATGTTCATAGCAGCATTATTGATAATGGCCAAGAGGTGGAAACAATAAGAAGGTCCATCAGCTGATAAATGAATAAACAAAATGTGGTCTATCCACACAATGGAATATTACCCAGCCTCTGAAGGGAATAACAAATGCTACCACTTGGATAAACTTTGAAAAAGTAATACTACATATAAGAAGCCAAACACAAAAGGCCACATATATATAACATTTATATGATATGTCCATAGAAACAGAAATTAATATAGTGATTGCCAAGGAATGGGTGAAACTGGAAATGGGAGGGATGGCATTTTTTTCTGGGGTGATGGAAATGTTCTGGAATTAAACCATGGTGATGATTGCACAACATAGCAAATATACTAAAAACAACCAATGTGTACAATTGAAAACAGTGAATTTTATGTTATATGAATTATCTGTCAATAAAAATATAATAATACATCTGACTCAAAAACAAAACATCTTGGGGCTTCAGGACCCAAGGTTAGTCATTGGAGAACCTGTGATTCTCTAGTGCCACTGGCCTGCTTTATCATGCGAGCTGGAGAGGCAAACAAACTCAAGGCAAACAAAGCCTCACAGATTAATGAAGAGACTTAGTTCTAACCACACACTTCCTCTTCTGGGAGGCAATTTTTTTCCCTTTCCACTTTGCTGATTTCCCAAAGGAGAACCACACATGGTCACGGCGCCAGCACAGGCTAGTCTGCTACAAGCAGGGATGATACAGAAAGCTAGGGCCAACAAACAGCACCATGAAACCGCACAGCAGTCACAGGAGCTGCTTCTGGCAACTCACCTTAAACCCACCTCCAACTTCTCCTAGAACATTTTCAATGGGCACCTTGGTGTTTTCAAAATGGACTTCACAGGCTGAAATACACAAAATTAAAGACTTTAGATGAAAACTACTCTGCACTTACCCACAGGCATGAAATTCATCCATTCATTCTACATCTACTGACAGGACAGTACAGAAAGACCAGGTTTCTGTCCACACGGAGCTCACACCTTAGTTAGGGAGATAAACTATAAACAAGATATTACAACACTGTGTTAAGTGAGACAGATAAACTAAATACAGCATTGTAACAGAAATGGAGGTTGGAGGGGCATGGGTAATACTATTTTTACTAAGGGTTTATGTCAGACTTTTCTAAGGTGAAGTTTTAAGGATGAGAAAGAGCCAGAGACAGAACAAAAAAGCTTGGCTCCCATTGCAAATGGGAGCATTGGTCCCATTTCACTCTGCTCAATGCAGCCAAACCCTGCACTGTGGCTCTGTGGAAGGAGATTTGCCTTTCTCTACCCACAATGCCAGGTTTGGCCATGTAACTTGCTGAGGCCAGGGGCATGGAGCCAACCAACATGAGCAGGGAGACCTTCAATGTGCTGATCCAGTCTGGCTTGACTGCTTGGGCTCTTACGATCTGCTGTGAGAACTCACTCCAGCGTATTTAAGAGAACAAATGGCACACCTGAACCCAGCCCACAGCACCTGGTAACTGTGGGAGAGAAATAAACGCCCAGTCCTGGGTGGTTTCTCAGGCGAGTTACTGCAGTGATGGATGACTGGCAGACCTTACAGTGCACCTGGCGTGTTGGGAAGTGGAGGTCAATGTGATGAGAACAGTTAGGTAAGCATGGCAAGGTGAGGGAAGAGATGGGGAAAGGACAGACAGAGTCTTCTCCACTGTGTTCTCTGGAACAGCGTGCTTCTGAATGTTATGTTATAAAGAAATGGCTCCCGGCAACTAATGCCAGAGAAAAGGGAGGCTCAGGACAGGGAAGACCTTGCTCAAGTAGCCAAGCAGCAGTCAAACCAAGTGTGGGCAACCAGGGTTGCTAACCTATTCTATGATTACAGCTGTGTTCAAACAGCCTCGTTGTAAAATACAATGAAATACTCATCTCTCTGTAAATCAGTGCTGACCAGGGTCTCAGGTATGGCTTAAGCACATGGGCTGGGAGGCCAAGGCCCTTCTCCTAACAGCTCTTGTTCCTTCACAGGCTGCTGGTGTGGGGAGGACCCTTTTTTCCTCTCTGACCTCATCTTGTGCCCCTCAACAACCCCCCCCCCCCCCACAGACACACAGGGCCACTGCATAATCCCAGTGGGCACTACCTACCCAGATCTCAGTATGGACAGTGCCCCCACAGCAGTGTATAGTGGCAGCCCTGCTCTTTCTCTCCACCCTGGTCCCTCTGGTCACTTTTCCCCACTAGCACACTGAGCTCTTTCTTATCTCAGGGTCTCTGAGCCTGCTGCTTCCTCTGCTGGAACATTCATTACTCAATAGGCAGCACCAGTCATGGTGGGTAATATCAGTAATAGCAATAACTAACATTTTCAGCTTCCATGTGCACTCAGCATTTTACGTACATCGTAATGCTCCCTTCTCATGTCACCTCCACAATGTAGGTTCTATTATCATCCTCCTCCCCTTTTATAAAAAATATTTTTATTGATTTCAGACAGGAAGGGAGAGGGAGAGAGAGAAAGAAACATTGATGAGAGAGAATCATTCATTGGCTGCCTCCTGCACGGCCCCTACTGGCGATTGAGCCCGCAACCCGGGCATGCGCCCTTGACCAGAATGGAACCCAGGACCCTTCAGTCTGCAGGCGGACACTCTATCCACGGGGCCAAACCAGCTAGGGCATCCCTTTTTTTAGGTGAGGAAACTGAAGAAAAGCAAACTAACTTGTTCGAGGACACACAGCTTCTATGTGCCAGAGCCAGGTTAGAGCTCGGGCCCTCTGACACTCCCCTTCCCCGAGGCCAAGCAGATGTCATGGCAAATACCACCATTCAGAACACAGGGTCCCCAAGGACAAGGTGGCAAACAGAAGTGGGTCTGGAGGTGCCAGGCTGGTATGCAGTCTCTGAAGCCAGACTCTCCATGATCTGAAGTAGGAGTCCCACGAGGTAGAGTCCTATGAGGACACCACTGCATCTGGGCAGCCGGAGGGCCACTCACAAGACCCAGCCTCAAGTAAATCGAGTGCTGACCAGGGGCTACAAACAGGTCTGGGCAGGTAGAAAGGGAAGTGAGAGAAGGAGGGAATATGGGGTGTCCTGTAATGGAATATTAACCTAGGATACCCACTGCCCTTCTTTGTATCCACTATGCTTCCCTGACAAGGCTGAGAACTCCACAAGACTGTGACTGTTTCGCTAGCCTTAGCATCACTGATCTCAGGGCATGGAAAGGTGCACAGTCACTGTGGCATTCTTTTTTAATATAAATATAGTTGGTATACAGTATTATATAGACATTATTGTGATTTGACATTTGTTAACTTACAATGTAATCACCACACTAATTCTCATAATAATTTATGCAAAATTATCACATTATGGACTATATTTCCTTTCCCCATTTCACTCATCCTCCCACCATCTCCCTTCTGGTAACACACCTTTGGCCTCTGTTTCTATGAGTCTATTTTTGTTTTGTTTGTTCATTTGTTTTATTTTTTTAGATTTTACATATAAATGAAATCATTTGGTATTTGTCTTTCTCTGCCTCACTTATTCCACTTAGCATACCTTCTAGACAATCCATGTTGTTGCAAATGGCAATATTTCATTCTTTTTATTGCTGTGTAATTTTCCATATGTATATACACAACACATCTTTACCTATTCATCTATCGATGGGCACTTAGGTTGCTTCCATATTTGGGCTATTGTAAGTAATGCTGCAACACATATTGTAGTGTATATATTTTCAGAACAAGAACAAATATTCCTAAAATTTATATGGAACAACACAAAACCCCAAATAATGAAAGCAACCCAAATAAAGAAGAACAAAGTTGCTGGTATCATGCTCCCTGATCTCAAACTACACTGCAAAGCTGTAATAATCAAAACAGCATGATACTGGCAAAAAAAAAGCAGACACACAGATCAGTTGAACAGAAATAAACGCTCACTTATATAGTCTATGACAAAAGAGGTAAAACATATACAATGGAGTAACAACTAATATAACCAATATAATACTGTATACCAACTATATTTATATTAAAAAGAATGCCACAGTGACTGTGCATCTTTCCATGCGCTGAGCATCACTGATGTTAAGGCCAGTATATAAGTGGTATTGGAAAAACTGGACACTCTCTCACACCATATACAACAATAAACTCAAGCCCTCGCCGGTGTGTTCAGTGGGTAGAATGTCGGCCTGCCCACCAAAAGACTGTGGGTTTGATTCCTGGTTAAGTGCATGACCTGGTTTGCAGTTTTGATCCCTGGCCCTGGTCAGGAGGCAACCAACTGATGTGTCTCTCTCACATCAATGTTTCTTTCGCTCTCTGTCTCTTTCCCCCTCCCTCTATCCCTTCCATTCTCTCTAAAAATCAATGGAAAAACATACTCAGGTGAGGATTAAACAAAAACAAACAAACAAACAAACTCAAAATGGTTAAAGACTAAATCTCCTATAATAAAACATAGGAAACAAACTATTTGACATCAGTCTGAGTAATATCTTTTTGGATACAACCTCCCGAGCAAAGGAACCAAAAGCAAAAGCAAACAAATGGGACTATATCAAACTAATAAGCTCCTGTACAGCAAAGGAAACCTTCACCAAAACAAAAAGACAATCTACTGAATGGCAAAATATAATTGCAAATGATAAGGTGTTGATATCCAAAATATATAAGAAACTCATAAAAGTCAATCCCAAAAATTAAAAAATCTGATAGAAAAATGGGCAAAGAAAATAAAAAGTTATTTCTCCAATGAGAACATACCGAGAAAAGATACTCGTCACTAATCATCAAAGAAATGCCAATTGAAGCCACAATGTGAAATCACCTCACACTAGTCAGAATGGCTATTATAAAAAGTCAACAAATAACATGTGTTGGTGAGGATGTGGAGTACAGGGAACCCTTGAACTCCGTTGGTGGGGTGTAGCCCCTCTGGAAAACAGTATGGCGATTCCTCAAAAACTAAAAATAGATACACCATACAACCCAGCAATTATACTTCTGGGTATTTGTTGGAAGAAAACAAGAACACTACTTTGAACAGATACATGCACCCCTATGTTTACAGCAGCATTATTTACAATAGCTATCATGGCATTCTTAATTTGATGTTGCTAAAATATTTAAGTACAATCAAAACTACTTAAATCTAATTTTATCTCGACACTTGGATGGAGCTAAAGGATCTCTCTCTCTCTCTCTCTCTCTCTCTCTCTCTCTCTCTTTCTCACACACACACACACACACACACACACACACACACAACTTACTGTTTGAGCCACGGATGCCTAACTTATCTTCAGGCTTCCCATTAGTGATTCCACCAAAGTCTCTTTCTACTATAAATGCTGTCATTTTGTCTTTTACTGAGCCATCGGAATCAACAACATTGGTTTTAGCAAACACGGTAAAAATACTGGCAAGTCCTCCATTGGTGATCCAGACCTGAAGGAAAAGAGCAAAAGAACTTTGGAGAAAACTAAACTATCATGAGCCACCTCTAAGCCCCATCTTTGCCACAAGACATGCCAGCTGCCCATCGAACTTCAGGCTAGACCAGTGATGGTGAACCTTTGGATCTAGGCGTGTCAGTATTTTGAAAAACCCTAACTTAACTCTGGTGCTGTGCCACATATAGAAATTTTTTTGATATTTGCAACCATAGTAAAACAAAGACTTATATTTTTGATATTTATTTTATATATTTAAATGCCATTTAACAAAGAAAAAGCAACCAAAAAAATGAGTTCGCGTGTCACCTCTGACACACGTGTCAGAGGTTCGCCATCACTGGTCTAGACTGTAAAGCCCTGGGGATCCCAGTCTCTCCAGAGCAAGGATTTTGCCAAGAGACACAAGTGGACATGTGTGTGTGTGTGTGTGTGTGTGTGTGTGTGTGTGTGTGTTGGGCGGGAGGGTGTAGAACAGTGGTTCTCAACCTTCCTAATGCCGTGACCCTTTAATACAGTGCCTCATGTTGTGGTGACCCCCAATTTCACTGTTACAAATTGAACATAATTAAAGCATAGTGATTAATCACAAAAACAATATGTAATTATATATGTGTTTTCCGATGGTCTTAGGTGACCCCTGTGAAAGGGTCATTCGACCCCCAAAGGGGTTGCGACCCACAGGTTGAGAACCGCTGGTATAGAAGAATAGCCAATGGTACTAAGATGGTTCAAGCTCTAGCACTAAACAAATGGGTTTTCTCAAGAAAGGGGAATAGGGACAGAAAGGAGCAAGGAAACGGGGTGGAAGAAATAGGAGAGGAAGGGAGAGGTAAATATAGAAGCTTCTCAACACAATGTAGGGAACCTATTTGGATCTTAATTCAAGCAAATGATTGGAAAAATAAAAAGGTAACCACAGAAATAGTCATAGAAATTTGAATGATAACTAGATAGTAAGGAATTATAAATTTTTAAAATTGTGTTAATGATATTATAATTAAAAAAAAAAAATTCCTGCCTTTTAGCTGAAACAGTATGGATGCAATCCAGAGGTGGCAATGCTGACAGAGAAACAGGACTGGCTAAGAAGAAATAATTGCTGAAGATGGTGAGGGTACATAGAAGTTCACAGTACTGAACTTAAAAACAAACAACCAACAGTAGATCAGGGAAGTAGTTGGTATTATGGAAACATGTAGATTGTGAAGCCAGAACTCCTTGGCTCCAAGCCTGGCTCTGTCACTAAGCATAGGATGTCTGCAGAACCTCTTTGAGACACAGTTTATTCTTTCAAAAAAAGAAAGTAGCATCCACCCAAGAGGTGATGGTCAAAAGATGATGTGTAGGCCCTTTGCAGTCCCTGGTGCGTGGAAAGTGGTCAGTGAAACCACTGACCTAGGCAGCATAGGTAAACACCTGAAATTGCTGCCTCGCACAACCACTTCAAAAATACAACTGAAAGACAAAACGGACATCATCCAGAACCACAGGAAGGCTGGCTGAGTGGAAATTCTACAAATAGAAGGAAAGAGAAAAGCACACTGAGACTTTGAGGAGGTACGGAAGTAAAGTGTGGAGGTATGGAGGCGCACACGGAAAGGGCTGGATACTGAGGATGCGGTTGTCTTTTTCAATAGGGAGGGAGACACAAGCTCCAATTGCTCTGAACTCCAGTTCCGGGCAAGTCTCTGGGGACCCAGACTCATACAGGGAGAAACTGGGCTGTCTGGCATCGAGGGTGGCTTTCTCTCAGAGGTGCTTGCAGCGATTACCGTGAGACACTGGGACCGGGGCCTCTTAGGGCAGGGCTGAGGATCAGACATAGCTGTTTGCTCCGCCCTGTAGATTCCCTGAGACCCTGCCCCACCCAAGCTGTGCACAGAGGCTTTTGCATATGAATGGCCTGGCCCTTTGCAATCTAAAATTACCTAACAAACTGCAGCTGGGTCAGAGAGACCCAGAACATCCACAAGAAGGCCCAAGGCCCCACAGCAGCTTGCATTGCTTCACAGCTGGGCCTCATCTGGGCACCTCCAAACCCAAAACAATGAAGAGGAACCTGCAGATCTCTCAATAGCTCCTGCTGGGTAGCCTCAGGCAGAGGCTAAATTAGCACCTCCTTAGAGATCCAAGAGCCAGTGTATCCACTGGTCAGAGTGGGACCATCCAGATTACAATGCCTCAGATCCATAAGGGACACACTCAGGGGGCAGACTCAGTGAGCACCAAAGCCCCACTGAAGCAAGTCTTGCCCCATAAGGTGGTCTCCAGCACAGAAGTTCTCTCACCGTAAACACAGCTGAATCTCACAGCCAATTGGCCTGGAGGTCAATTCCTCCCAGTGATACCTACAATAATCAAGGCTTAACTACAACAAGACTGTGCACAAAGCCCACATAGGGGTGCACCAAGAGTGTCCACCTCAGGTAATTGGGGAGGCTGAGCCACTGGGCCCTATAGGACACCTAGAAAGGAAAGCCACTCTATCAACACAGGGAAGCAGCCAAAATGCGGAGACAAAGAAACAGGTCACAAATGACAGAAATGGAGGAAAGCAAACTACTGGATATAGAGTTCAAAACCACAGTTATAAGGTTTTTCAAGAATTTTCTAGAAACCTCCGATAAATTTAGTGAGACCCTCGAGAATATGAAAAAGGACCAACTAGAAATTAAGCATACACTGACTAAAATAAAGAATATTATACAGAGATCCAACAGCAGACTAGAGGATCACAAGAATCAAGTCAAAGATTTGAAATACGAAGAAGCAAAAAACACCCAACTGGAAAAGCAAAAAGAAAAAAGAATCCGAAAATATGAAGATAGTGTAAGGAGCCTCTGAGACAACTTCAAGCATACCAACATCCGAATTATGGGGGTGCCAGAAGATGAGAGAGAGCAAGATATTGAAAACCTATTTGAAGAAATAATGACAGAAAACTTCCCCTACATGGTGAAAGAAATAGACTTACAAGTCCAGGAAGCACAGAGAACCCCAAACAAAAGGAATCCAAAGAGGACCACACCAAGACACATCCTAATTAAAATGCCAAGAGCAAAAGACAAAGAGAGAATCTTAAAAGCAGCAAGAGAAAAACAGTTAGTTACTTACAAGTGAGTATCCATACAACTGTCAGCTGATTTCTCAACAGAAACTATGCAGGCCAGAAGGGAGAGGCGAGAAATACTCAAAGTGATGAATAGCAAGAACCTACAACCAAGATTACTTTACCCAGCAAAGCTATCATTCAGAATTGAAGGTGATATAAAGAGCTTCACAGATAAGAAAAAGCTAAAGGAGTTCATCACCACCAAACCAGTATTATATGAAATGCTGAAAGGTATTCTTTAAGAAGAGGAAGAAGAAGAAAAAGGTAAAGATAAAAATCATGAACAACAAATACATATCTATCAACAAGTGAATCTAAAAATCAAGTAAATACAAAAAATCTGATGAACAGAATAAACTGGTGAATATCATAGAATCAGGGGCATAGAAAGGGAGCGGACTGACCAATTCTCGGGGAGTAAGGGGTGTGGGGGTGCGGGAAGAGACTGGACAAAAATTGTACACCTATGGATGAGGACAGTGTGGGGGGAGAGGTAAGGGCAGAGGGTGGGTGGGAACCGGGTGGAGGGGAGCTATGGGGGGAAAAAGAGGAATAATTGTAATAATCTGAACAATAAAGATTTAATTTTAACACAGAACCTAGACACAGAACACAGACACAGAACCTAGTCACGGAACCTACACAGAACCTAGACACAGAACCTACACAGAACCTAGAGACAGAAGAACTTCGCTGGAGAGAACATGGCAAAAGATCCTGGACAGAAACTGGAGACAGAACCTAGAGACAGAACCTAGCGAAAGAACATGGCAAAAGATCCTGGACAGAAACTGGCCACAGAACCTAGAGACAGAACCTAGCGAGAGAACCTGGCTGAAGAACCTAGAGACAGAATCTGGCTACAGAACCTGGATAGAACATGGAAAGAGAACCTGACTAGAACCTGGTGACTGAACCTGGCTGGAGAACCTGGACAGAACCTGGCTGGAGAACCTAGTGAGGGAACATGGCTACAGAACCTGGCTGGAGAACCTGGAGAACTTGGCTGGAGAACCTAGCAAGAGAACATGGACACAGAACCTGGCTGGAGATCCTAACCAGAACTTCGCTGGAGATCCTGGCTAGGCTGACGATCAAGTGGGGGAAAAAAAAAAAAAAAGATTCAATTTTAAAAAAAAGAAAAAAGAAAGTGGTCAGTGAGTGATAGTGAAGGTTATGACTGAGACCCCGGTGAAGTCATGGAGTTGTACCTTAGAGCCGTTCAAGATATAGTGCTTCTTATCTTCACTTAGAGAGGCCCTAGTCCGGATGGAGGCAGCATCGCTTCCACTGTAGGGACAGAAACAGGCTGTTGAGGAGAGTAATGCTGGAAATCAATAAGAATGGTTTGGAAGGCCCCAAAACAAAGGTTTTTACTTTTTTTTTTTTTTTAATATATTTTATTGATTTTTTACAGAGAGGAAGGGAGAGAGATAGAGAGTTAGAAACATCGATGAGAGAGAAACATCGATCAGCTGCCTCCTGCACATCTCCTACTAGGGATATGTCCGCAACCCAGGTACATGCCCTTGACCGGAATCGAACCTGGGACCTTTCAGTCCGCAGGCCGACGCTCTATCCACTGAGCCAAACCGGTTTCGGCGGTTTTTACTTTAATACAGGAGTTGGCAAATGTTTAAAATACACAGGGCCAGATTATAAATATATTCAGCTTTTCAGGCTACAGGATACCTGTCCCAACTCCTCAATTTTGCAACTGTGGCATAAGGCAGCCACAGACAATTTGTAAACGAGCAGACATGTTCCAGCAACACTTTGTTTACAAGGGCATGTACCTGGGTTGCAGGTTCGATACTTGGCCCTATTCAGGAGGCAACCAATAGATGTGTCTCCCTCACATCAATGTTTTACTCTCTCTCTCGTCTTCTCTCCTCCTCCCTCACTCCTTTCCACTCTAAAATTCAATGAAAAAAATATCCTTGGATGAGGATTAACAACAAAAACACGTGGCCAACCCCTATTTTATCGCTTCAGATAGAGGAGCAGTGAAAAATAGTGGGCTTAGGTTTAAACATGAAAATGTGTGCTCAAAATAGACTCATCTAAACTCCTATGAGAATGAGTTCTGGGCACTCAGGTGGAGGGAAGCAAGATGAAGTTCAGTCCAAGTAGCAGACTTGGCATCAGAAGTCCCGGGTCCTATGCCAACGTTGTTAGATCCTAGCTGTGTGACCTTGGGCTTATCATAAACCTCACTGAACCTCAGTTTCTAATCTGTAAAACAGGGACATTACCACCCACCCTCCATACTCTGAAAGTTGCTATGAAGTCTTAATAGGAGGTGTTGCAAACCACAAAATAATTATTTAATAGGTGCTGTCAGATTTGTTAGCTCACTTATAACTCTCATTAGGAGAGAAAAATAAAGACAAGAGAACTGGCAAGAAAAGTTACTGAGTTGACTCTTGGAAAAATACAGAGAAAGAAGAAATAAAAGTCACCATCTATTCAGCAAAAACTACAGCCCCCCTCCCAGTGCACCCTGGAAGACGCTGTTCCAGGGCAGCTCATGCCAAGCAGACCTGGCTGGCTCCGTCAGGCAGAAGGCGGCAATGTGTTCTCCTGATGCCAGTTTGGGCAGATATTTGGCCTTCTGCTCTTCACTACCGGCCAAGATGATCCCCTAAACAAGACACACAGGCTGATTTTAGCTTTGGAGAGAGAACACTAAAATACGCTGTAGAACATGGCTTCTGAAGATAATCCTTACTTCATGCAAAAGGAAACGCTGAGTCAGAGCTAGCAGCCTCAGGTAAAAAGTGGGGAACTAGACTGCAAAGGACCTACCCTAAAGTGCACACTTCAGGGGGGCCTGGGCCTGGAGGCCCAGTAGAGCTTTGGGGTCAGATTCAGGGATTTTCATTATAGCCCCCATTTCCTGGCTGGGTGGTCTTGGGTAAGGGATGTCCCCTCTCTGAGCTCCCATCTCCTCACCCACACACAGGGGATAATTCTACCCACTGTAGGGATGGTTTGGATGAAAAAATGTGAAGAGGTGGGAATGCTAGAGCCATACCAGGCATAAAGAAGGTGTTCAGTCAATGTCAGAACTGTCCCACCCCCTTCTTGGTGCTGAATGGGCATGTCCACTCCTCCTACCGAGAGACTGCATACAGCACACATACCCTCAGAGTGAGGGGGCCAAGCATGCTGTGCACTCAGCTCACTGTGGTGTCTACATTGAGCAAAAACAACCCAAGTAGTTGGATTGTTGATAAGAGTGGTGTGACCCTGGACCTGCCATAAAATGTTCTCAGCCCAGTGGGGTGAGGAAGACCAACAGCAGGGAGGACCTGCTCAGGCCCCAGGTTGAGTGCTCAAGAGCTCGGTGGGGGAGGTTCACATCCAGTCTGAGGTGAAGACAGGCTCCGCGGAGGCAGCAGCATCACAACTGGAGCGCTAAAGGGCAGGTCAAAGGCAATGGGGACAGGAGGGAGATTCAAAGGGAAGGAACAGTGCAAAGAGCCACTGCTTGTGCAGGGACTGAGCACTATCCAGCAGGGCTGAGAATGGGTGTGCACAAACGAGGCACTGCAGGGCGAGGAGACAGGTGCAGGCTAGGCCCTCCTCCCAGACCCTGAGACAGCAAGCACAATTCACTTCCTGAAGGTCTTCTGGAGTCATAGAAAGCATCCCCAGATACTTGACCTTGAGGCCGATGGCCTGGTGTGCTGCCAGGGTCACAGCGATTGACCCGTCCAGGCCGACAATCTCCCCTAGCCGCGCATACATGGTGTTGGAGAGGCCCAGGCCACCTAGAGGAGAAACAGACCAGTTTTACTTATGGTCCAGCCCTAAATTCCTCCCATTAAAGGCAAATGGCTTTACTGGTCTTTTCTGGTTATAAAAGAATGGCAGGCCCTAGCCGGTTTGGCTCAGTGGATGGAGCGTCGGCCTGCGGACTGAAGGGTCCCGGGTTCGGTTCCGGTCAGGGGCATGTGCCTTGGTTGCGGGCATGTTCCCAGTGGGGGGTGTGCAGGAGGCGGCTGATCGATGTTTCTCTCTCATTGATGTTTCTGGCTCTCTGTCCCTCTCCCTTCCTCTCTGTAAAAAAACAGTAAAATATATTTTTAAAAAATATTAAAAAAAAAAGAATGGCAGACCACCATTTTAAAAAAAATCACAATACAGAAAGGTACAAAGAAAACAAAAGTCACCCATAAACATCACTCATATTTTTGTGTATATCCTGTCAGACTTTTCTAGGCATATGAGCATATATAGATTTATTTTTAACATAGAAGTATATAATCTATAATACAAAAATATAAAAATATCCTTACATCATTTAATATGTTGTGAATATCTCCTGTCAGATATAGATCTTTGTGAATCAAAGAGCTTTCCAGGGTCTCATTCCAGGGTCCAGTGGACTCCAGTACAGATATTATTCTGTGTGGTACTATTAACATTTTAGGATGGATCATTCTTTGTTGTGGGGACTGTTCTGTGCACTGTAGGATGTTTAGCAGCATTCTTGGCCTCCACCCACTAGATGCCAGAAGTCCCCCTCCCCACAGTTTGACAACCAAAAATTCTCTAGACATTGTCCAATGTCTCCTGAGGGACAAAATTATCCTAGCTGGGAATCATTATTCTGGAGTTAAGAGACAAAGATTAAAGAAACAAAAACAAAACCTTCACTGAACTTACATATTTTGAATTTCATCTTCAACTTCCACAGGTGGCTGAGTGACCATATGTGCATCTTACAAATGATGAACTGAGGCCTAAGATCATGCGGCCAAAATGTAGCAGGGCTGGGCGTGGTCACTGGAGCCACCATTCACATACAAAGGGAGGGCTAAGCCCCTGCAGAGATGTGGACTGGCCCTGCCTAGTGTGTAGTCCATGGGTTCAATGGTGGCACCAGGAAGGCCAGGGCTCTGCAGTACCACTTCCCCCCTTTCCACTTGTTTCAATCAAAACACTTTTATTTATTTCATACTAGAGGCCCGGTGCATGAAATTTGGGGGGGGGGGGCAGGGGGAAGGGTGTCCCTCAGCCCGGCCTGCACCTTCTCCAATCTGGGACCCCTTGGGGGACGTCTGACTGCCGGTTTAGGCTCGATCCTTCACCGGCAGTCGGCCATCTCTCTCACAATCCGAGACTGCTGGCTCCTAACTGCTCAGCTGCCTGCCTGCCTGATCGTCCCCTACCGCTCCCTTGCTGGCCTGATTGACGCCTAACTCCTCCCCTGCTGGCCTGATCGCCCCCAACTGCCCTCCCCTGCCAGCCTGATTGCCCCCAACTGCCCTCCCCTCTTGGCCCGATCGCCCCCAACTGTCCTCTCCTGCCTGCCATCTTTGTGGTGGCCATCTTGTGATGACGTCGCACGAGGGTGTGACACCACCTAGGCTTTTATTATATAGGATACTGAGGGAATCAATTTTGTTTGTTAAAGAAATAAATTCCAATGTGCCCCTCTCCCCCCACCTGCCCTTGGAAAGTTATCACTAAAGTCATGGGGATAGCAATCATATGCAAAAGGATGACATGTGGGTGGAGACTGCTGGCCGGCAGGCCTGGTTGGCCGCAGGGAACCAGGAAGGAAATGCAGGCTCAGTTGGTAGAAAGGCCTCCATTTCCCTGGATGGAAGTTTCTAACTACTCCCTAGAATGCTCCAGACTGGAAACAGTTCCCCAAAACTTTGGGGGCATGAACATAAGGTTGCTTTTTTCCAAAGAAAGGGGGGGAAAGAAGCCCCAAATATGACCATTAACATCTCATGAAAGAGCAATTTCATATCAGAAAGTAGGACATAAAACAAGAATAAGGGATGGAAAGTTCTGCAATATCATACCAACATAGCCATGTATGTGTACATACACCCAATACATGCTGGCATATTAGATATGCAGATGTAAAAGACATATCCCAATTTTACAAAGAAATTGTTTGGGGGAAAAAATTAAGTCCTTTTCATCAATCAATAAATGATTTAAAAATTATCTTGAAGGGAAAATATATATTACTACTAACCTGACTATGTCTAGAGAAGTGGTTCTCAACCTTCTGGCTCTTTTAATACAGTTCCTCATGCTGTGACCCAACCATAAAATTATTTTCATTGCTACTTCATAACTGTAATGTTGCTACTGTTATGAATCATAATGCAAATATCTGATATGCAGGATGGTCTTAGGAGACCTCTGTGAAAGGGTTGTTCGACCGCCAAAGGGGTCGCAACCCACAGGTTGAGAACTGCTGGTCTAGAGCAATGATGGTGAACCTATGACACACGTGTCAGAGGTGAAATGCGAACTCATTTTTCTGGTTGATTTTTCATATATTTAAATGCCATTCATATTTAAATGGCATTTAAATATCTTACCTAATAATAGACAAACAAGGTAATTGACCATACCTTCGCTATGCCTCCCATTGGCTAATCAGCAAGATATGCAAATTAGCTGCCAACAAAGATGGCGGCCGGCAGCCACGGAGCTGGAACGAGCAGGAGGCTTGCTTGCTCCAGTGATGGAGGAAGCCTAGGTTCCCCGCCTGCCGCGGCCCGGCTCTGAGCTCTGAAAGCAACAAAGTTTCAATTATAGAAGCTAAACAAACCCCAGATACCTGCTTTCAGCAGGCCGTGGCCACAGAGCTGGAGCCTTGGGTTGCCCCTGGCGATGGAGGAAGCCAAGCCCTGGCCAGCTCTGAGCTCCACTCCAGGCTACAAAGTTTCAATTATAGAAGGTAAATAAATCCCAGAAAAAGAAAAAAGAAAAAAAGGAGAGGCTGGGAGCTTCTGTCACTGGGGAGGCTTGGCCAGCCTGAAAACGGCCCTCTGCCCTTCACCCAGACTGGCCAGGCACCCCAGTGGGGACCGCCCACCCTAAAGGTGGTGTTGCCAGCCTGAAACAGCCATCAGCCTCTCACCCAGGCTGGCCAGGCACCCCAGTGGGGACCCCCACCCTGAAGGGCAAACCAGCCGGCCCCCACCCGTGCACCAGGCCTCTATCCTATATAGTAAAAGGGTAATATGCAAGCTGACCCTAACAGCAGAAAGACTGGGAATGACTGGTCACTATGACACACACTGACCACCAGGGGGCAGATGCTCAATGCAGGAGCTGCCCCCTGGTGGTCAGTACACTCCCACAGGGGGAGCTCTGCTCAGCCACAAGCCAGGCTGACAACTGCCAGTACAGCAGTGGTGGTGGGAGCCTCTCCTGCCTCCTCAGCAGCGCTAAGGATGTCAGACTGCAGCTTAGGCCTGCTCCCCGCTGGCAAATGGACATCCCCCGAGGGCTCCTGGGCTGCCGGAGGGATGTCTGATTGCCAGCTTAGGCCCAATCCCCCGGAGAGCGGGCCTAAACCAGCAGATGGTCATCCCCCGAGGGGTCCCAGACTGCAAGAGGGCACAGGCCGGGCTAAGGGATACCCCCCGCCCCCGTGCACAAATTTTTGTGCACCGGGCCTCTAGTATAAAATAAATATTAAAAATATAAATCTTTGTTTTACTATGGTTGCAAATATCAAAAAATTTCTATATGTGACACGGCACCAGAGTTAAGTTAGGGTTTTTCAAAATGTTGACACGCCGAGCTCAAAAGTTTCGCCATCATTGGTCTAGAGGCTTCTCCCTGATATTTGCTTACTCTAAGCACTTATATTTTCCAGTGGATGACAGACCAACCACTACTCTCCAGCTCTATCCCTACCTGCTTGCTAACTAGTATTCAATGCAGCCCGTGTGTTATGGCAGATAATTCCCCTGTCACTTGTGAGTTATAATACTGACAAGTCTCAGGTGTCTGAAAGAATGCAGTCTCCCCCTACCTCACTCAGAGGCTGCAGATTTCTGTTAAGAAACAGAAAGTCTGGCTGTAGAGGTCTGTGCTGTGAATTCCAACACTTGTGGGGAGCAACATCCATGATTATTTTATGTCTTCTGTATAAAAGAATATTTTTCTACATTTGGAAATGTGATGAAAGGTCTTTTATACAATGACAAGTAAGATACACCATTTAGCCTGGCCATTGTGGCTCAATGGTTGAGCATCGACCTAAGAACCAGGAGGTTACAGGCACATGCCTAGGTTGCGGCTCAATCCCCAGTGGGGGGACATGCAGAAGGCACCCCATTGATGATTCTTTTTCATCACTGATGTTTCTTTCTCTTTCTCCCTCACCCTTTCCCTTTCCCTTCCTCTCTGAAGTCAATAAAAATACACCTTAAAAAAAAAGATACACCATTGAACAGTTTAAAGCAAAGCAATAAACATACATATAATGTAAGATTTAGCCTGATTAAGCTATGCCTCAGAACCAAGGAAATTAGATATCACACTAATTTGTCCTAAATTTTCACATTTTGTCTCACAATGGACCAGTTCCAGGATGGGTACAATGGGTACTTATTCTACAAACATTGAGGGTCCCCTATTTATGGCTGCCCAACTTGGGGTGAAGGGGCTGGGTGGTATAACTTTAGTCTCTTAGGTAAAACAGGGAAGAAGATAGACCAGCGGTTCTCAACCTGTGGGTCGCGACCCCTTTGGGGGTAGAATGACCCTTTCACAGGGGTTGCCTAAGACCATCGCAAAACACATATATAATTACATATTGTTTTTGTGATTAATCACTATGCTTTAATTATATTCAATTTGTAACAATGGAAATACATCCTGCATATCAGATATTTATTTACATTACGATTCATAACAGTAGCAAAATTACAGTTATGAAGTAGCAACGAAAATAATTTTATGGTTGGGGGTCACCACAACATGAGGAACTGTATTAAAGGGTCGCGGCATTAGGAAGGTTGAGAACCACTGAGATAGACCATCAAGACAAGCTCCTGGATTCTGTTATTTGCTATGCAAACCTAATTTAAAATATGGCTGGAAAAATGCCCCAAATACTAAAAACCTCCAGATGAACAGCTACACCCATGAAATATACCCAGCGCTAAAAGCACGACTAACTCTCCCCTAAACTCCTGCCCCATAGCTGATCACAGTGGGAGCAACCCCAGCCAGCAAAGCCTCAGGAAGAGGGCTCAGAGAAGTGGGTGCAGGCTGAGAACCTAGAGCCACACTTTCATGTCAAAAGGGCCTGAGAGTAAAAACTGTGCGTGGGTGTGCATGCCCATGCATGCGTATGACTGTGTCTGTCTCTGAGACACTGTCTATCCCTCTCCCTGCACACAATTCTTGCCTGTCCCCTTAATCCCACAGAATAGGGATGACTACCTCCAGATTAGGCAAAAAAAGAAACAAGTGATCAGCCAAATCTGATAAACAGAATTACTCTGGGATCCTGAGGAGAAAGACAAGGTCTTTCACTTGGGGGCTTAAAATGTCACTATGAAGCTCCACAGATGCTATGCACAGTCCAGAGGACACAGAGCCTGCTCGAAGGTCCCTAGTAAAATCCCCCACAGGCCACAGGTTCGAGAACAATTCAGTCTGTTTAACACCGATACACTTATTACAGCAAAACTGAACACTCACTAGCTTTAGGTCTGTAATGGAACAAGTTAGGGTTTTTTAGATGTACCTTGTGCCCTACAGCCTTATGCCTTACTCCTCTGCACCAGTATGAGAAGCCAAACCCTGGCACCTGAACTCTCACCACACATTTATCCCTCCAACATGAAGCGTAAGTGGCTCCAAGGGCAATTCCTATGCCAGAGACCAAAGGACTATACAGTGGAGATGACAATCAGCTGCAATCAGCTCCTGCAGTGGTCTCTGGTCCATTCCAGAGGGAAAAAAGCACATTTTCTGCCCTGAGCCAGTCCACACACACTCACTAACCAGCCACCTGGTATTCAGCCAATGACAGATGTTTTTATTAATTCCAGCTGTTTTACAGCTTGATCTTGGACATACTGCACTTAAAAGGCCACCCTTCCCCAAAATAACTCTTTTTTTAAACAAAAATAGAGTACTTTCTTAAGAGACAGACAACCAGCAGGTGGGGCGGGGGCGGGGGGGGGGGGGGTTGTGTCGGGGGAGGTGGGTATTTTTTTTACTTACCATATTCTTCTGGGACTTGCATCCCAAAAAGCCCCAGGCTCTTCAGTTTCTCCAATGTTTCTGTTGGGATTTTTCCCTCCTGATCAATTTTTCGAGAGTCCACTGCCAAGAAGAAATATCTTGATTAAACAAAATATAAGTGATGTTTATAAAAATAAACAGAACAACTTTTTGTATAGTATACAACCCCAGTTTCAAAAACTTTAAAACTGGAAATTATCTAGTCATGGTCATTTAGCATGCTTTTAATTTTACCTAATTACACCAGAAAGAACTGTATTTTGAAAAATTACCAATACCAGGGTATATTGTTTCTTAATCAGGGTGCTATTCACATGGCATGGCTGCACAACATTGTAAATATGCTTAATACCACTGAATTGTATGCTTAACAAGGATTAAAATGTAAGTTTTATGTTATACATATTTTACCACAATAGGAAAAAAAAAGAATAGCAAGGTATTTAAGGTTTATGATGAATGCAGAAATAAAATGTATGAAACAGCATTTAGGCCAGGAAAGCGAAAACGTTGTAACACTCTTACATGAGACACGAAGTGGTACACCGGTAATATCGGTAAGACATGTACGATAAACTCTAAAGCAACCACTGAAAAACAAAAGGTATTACTAATAAACCAACAAAAGAGATAAGGTGAAATAAAAAACACTCTATTAATCCAAAAGAAGGCAGATACAAAAAGAAAAAGGGAAACAAAGAAGACATGGGACAAATAAAAAAATAGGTAGATAGAGTTAAACCCAACTATGTCAATAATAACCTATTCTAATAAAAGGGTAATATGCTAATTAAACCTGACATCCTTCTGGAGTCCTTCCGGACACAGCCACGGTGGCAGGGGACAAGGCAGAGGAGGTTAGGGGGCGATCAGGCTGGCAGGGGAGAGCAGTTAGGGGCGATCAGGGTGGCAGGGGAGAGCAGTTAGGGGCAATCAGGCAGGCAGGCAGGAAGGTGAGTAGTTAGGAGTAAAGGGTCCCGGATTGAAGAGGGTGCAGGTGGGCTGAGGGACCCCCCCCCACCTCCATGCATGAATTTTATGCACCAGACCTCTAGTATTAAAATAATCATATATCAAAGATCAATCAAAAGGCACAGATTGTCAGACTGGATTTTGACTGGATTTTAAAAGACAACATTCAACTATGCTGCCCTGTAACAGATCCACTTTATTATTTTTACTGTATACCTTTATTTTGAAATATTATCAAATTTAAAGAAAAGTTGCAAAAATAGTAGTTTCTGTATACTCTTGACCCAGCTTCTCCTAATGCAACCTTATAGAACCACAGTAAAACTACCAAAATTAAGACACTGACATTCATATACTATTATTTAGTAAATTACAGAATTAATTTTTAAGTTTCATCAGTTTTTCTATTAATGTCTTTTTTTCTGTTCCAGGATCCAATCCAGGATCCCACACTGTATTTAGTTGTTATGTCTCTTTAGAATCCTTCAGTCTGTAATGGTTCTTCTTCAGTCTTTTCTTGTCTTTTATGACTTTGACATTTAAAGCATTATTCCTTTGTAGCAATTTGGATTTGCCTGTTTTCCAAAGATTAGATCAATGTTATGTATTTTGGGAAAGAAGACAACAGGGGTGATGTGCCCTTCTCAGTGTATTATATCAGAGTATACGAGGCATAATTAAGTCTTATAACTGGTGATGCTAACTTGATCACCTGTTTAAGGTGGTGCCAGCCAAAATTCTCCACATAAAGTTACTCTCTCATCTGGTCAGCGTGGCTCAGTGGCTGAGCATTGACCTATGAACTAGGAGTCATGGTTCGATTCCTGGTCAGGGCATATGCTGGGATTGCAGGCCCAATTCCCAGTGTGGGGTGTGCAGGAGGCAGCCAATCAATGATTCTCTCTCATCACTAACACTCCTGCTCCTTTCCTCTCTGAAATCATAAAAATATATATTAAAAAAATAAAGTTATTTTCCCTTTGTAATTAATAAATATCACAGGGAGGCCAGCCAATGTGATTCAGTGATTGAGCATTGACCTATGAACTAGGAGGTCACAGTTCAATTGCCAGTCAGGGCACATACCCAGGTTGTGGGCTTCAGCCCCCATGGGGGGCATTTAGGAGTCAGCCAATTAATGATTCTCTCTCATGATTGATGTTTCTATTCCTCTCTCTCTCTCCCTCTCCCTTACCCTCTGAAATCAATAAAAATATATTTAATAAATGTTATAGGGGAACTACTTTACAATTATATAAATAAACTGTTTCCCCTCAAACTTTCACCCATTCATGTTTTACTAAAGTGCGTGCTTCATGGTAATTTTTATTGTTGTTGTTAATCCTCACCCAAGCATATTTTTCCATTGATTTATAGAGAGCGTAGAAGGGAGAGGGAGAGACAAAGAGAGAGAAACATCGATGTGAGAGAGACACCACTGACTGGTTGCCTCCTGCATAGACCTGCAACTGAGGCATGTGCCCTTAACCAGAACCAAACCCAGGACCCTTCAGTCTGAGGGCCGACATTCTATCCACTGAGCCAAACCAGCTAGGACATTATGGTAATTTTGTATTCCAAAATTTCAGCTATGTTTATTAAGTGGAGAAGAAAACCACTTTGCATATAAAAACACATTATCAGTCAAGAGGATGAAAAAAGACATATGCTAACACTAATTCAAAGACAGCTGTAGTTGATATAATTAACATTAGATAAATCAGATTTTTAAGCAGAGACTATTACTGGAGATAAGGTGGGTCATTTCATAATTATAAAGTGATCAACTCATCATCTATATATATGAAGAGCCAGGGTCATAACATCCACGACCGGAGGCTTGACCGAACACCAGGCTGCGCGTGCAGCAGGCAAGCGGGCTATACTGCTGACCTGGTGGAGTGCGGGGGGGGGGGGGGGGGGGGGCTGATCAGCAGCAGCAGTGGCTGCTGGTGAGGCCTGGAGAGAGAAACAGGGTGATCAGACCCTGCTTCTCTCTCCAGGCCTTGCCAGCAGCCAAGCCCCTCTCTCTCTTAGAGGTCAGCAGTTCAGCCCACTCATCAGCAGCCAGGACCGAACGCCAGGCTGCGTGTGCAATAGGTGAGCAGGCTGAACTGCTGGCCTCTTGGAGAGAGAGCAGCAGGGCTGATCAGCAGTGACAGCTGCTGCTGGCGAGGCCCAGAGTGAAGCAGGGTGATCAGAGAAGCAGGATGATCAGACCCTGCTTCTCTCTCCTGGCCTCGCTAGCAGCCAAGCCTCTCTCTCTCACAGAGGTTAGCAGTTCAGAGCACTTGCCAGCAGCCTGGGGCGGCTGCTGATCAGCCCTACCTCTATGATCAGGCACGGAGATAGGCCCGGAGATACTGACTGGCATAGAAACTGACCAATCAGAACCAAATCCGGGTGAATTGCGAGGAGTCAATGGCTGCCTAGGAGGCAGGGCTTTTGACACTGACTGGCATAGAAACCGACCAATCAGAACCTAATCTGGGTGAATTGCGAAGGCAGAACCTAAGGTGGGGGCTGAGGAGGGGTTTTAAGGGCAACAGCTGTTTGGTGTAAGGTGTAAGAAAGTGATTCAGCAGGAGAACCAAGATGGCGGCATAGGTTAACACCGGAGTTTGCTGCTTTGAGAAACTACTTCAAAAGTGAAACCAAAAAACGGAAGGGACATCACCCAGAACCACAGGAACGCTGGCTGAGTGGAAGTCCTACAACTAGGAGGAAAGAGAAACGCATACGGACACTCAGAGGAGGCGCAGTGCTGAAGTCAAATTCTGAGGTGCGGAGTGCGCAGAGCGGGCTGGCGGCGGAGGGCGCGGTTGGCGTTTTCAATCGGGAGGGAGTCGCAGAATCTGAGCTCCAGATCCGGGCGAGTCTTTAGGGACCCAGACTCTAACGGGAGAAGCGGGACTGTCTGGCTTCGGTCAGAGCGAGTGCAGCTTTCTCTCCGAGCTTTGCAGCGGGTGCTGGGACTCAGAGAGGCAGAGCCCCTGGGGACAGGACTGAGAGCCGCCATAACTGCTCTCTCCGGCCCACCCTGTTGATCCTGTTTGACCCGCCCCACCCAAGCCCTGCACACAGGCATTTGCCGGATAGCCTCAGGCAAAGGCTAGATTAGCACCTCCCTAGAGGACAGAAGTTCTCTCACTGCTGACACAGCTGATTCTCATAGCCACTTGGCCTGGAGGTCAAACCCTCCCTGGAATTAGCTACAACAATCAAGATTTAACTATAAAACTGCGAACAAAGACCACTAGGGGGTGCACCAAGGAAGCATAACAAAATGCGGAGACAAAGAAACAGGACAAAATTGTCAATGGAAGATATAGAGTTCAGAACCACACTTTTAAGGTCTCTCAAGAACTGTTTAGAAGCCGCCGATAAACTTAATGAGATCTACAAGAAAACTAATGAGACCCTCGATCTTATATTGGGGAACCAAATAGAAATTAAGCATACATGGACTGAAATAATGAATATTATACAGACTCCCGACAGCAGACCAGAGGAGCGCAAGAATCAAGTCAATGATTTGAAATGCGAGGAAGAAAAAAACACCCAACCGGAAAAGCAAAATGAAAAAAGAATCCAAAAATGCGAGGATAGTGTAAGGAGCCTCTGGGACAGCTTCAAGCGTACCAACATCAGAATTATAGGGGTGCCAGAAGATGAGAGAGAGCAAGATATTGAAAACCTATTTGAAGAAATAATGACAGAAAACTTCCCCCACCTGGTGCAAGAAATGGACTTACAGGTCCAAGAAGTGTGGAGAACCCCAAACAAAAGGAATCCAAAGAGGACCACACCAAGACACAGCATAATTAAAATGCCAAGAGCAAAAGATAAAGAGAGAATCTTAAAAACAGCAAGAGAAAGAAACTCAGTTACCTACAAGGGAATACCCATACGACTGTCAGCTGATTTCTCAACAGAAACTTTGCAGGCCAGAAGGGAGTGGCAAGAAATATTCAAAGTGATGAATGCCAAGAACCTACAACCAAGATTACTTTATCCAGCAAAGCTATCATTCAGAATTGAAGGTCAGATAAAGAGCTTCACAGATAAGGAAAAGCTAAAGGAGTTCATCACCACCAAACCAGGATTAT